CCCCTGAGGTATGGTCAAATTACAAGAAAAACCCCTCTTGTTTGGATAATTACATCTACCGCTCTTATCTATGATTTTTTCTTACACCTCCACCCTTATTGTGCCAAATTCAATACAATCATCTAGATTCCGTGGAATGTGCTCTAGTTTGTATTCGTTTTGTGTAAAAATACAGTTTCCGATGCACCACAAACTGATATACACAAGCTAAAAGTCACATATTATGATCATCTTACTTCATAATGTAGAGTTTGAATAGTATAAAACGGGTACAAAAGTGATAATATTTCATATAATCTCGAAGATTCCACTAAATTTGAAGAGCTGAGGGGGTGGTTGTAATTATCCAAACAAGAGGGGTGTCTTTGTAATTTGACCATACCTCAGGGGTGTTTGTAATTTACCCTAAAAAATATGATTCATTTTGGTTTCCATTCAAAAAATCATCTTTTGTTATTTTTTTAAACACACCCTTATATTTTAAGCTAAAATCCCATGAAATATCGCGGACGAGTCCTATAAATATTGTGACCGCGATTGTAAATAGTGCCAGACGAACCCTGGGGACGTAAGTCAACTGTCTGAATTCATTGGCAATTTCACAATTCGTTGTTAAGTTTCAGAAGTTCATTGCCAAATTTCAACAAATTTACAACAATCCTCGATCGATTTTCGCCAATTTTTGCAAGTTCACTTCTAGAGTCACACTCGAGTGAGAGCATTTAAAAAGTCTACTATCTTCCAACATGAGATATTCATATAATATACTCCCTCGACCCATTTTATATGTCGTTTTTGGCGGCCTCGATGCTACACCCGGTTATAATCACCGGGTGTGGCTACTTGTGACACGTGTCCCACTTTATGAGTTAATTGTTTATTTTTTATTTTTAATAATAATTTTCTTTTTAAAGTAAATCAGAATTTTAACTTTAATTATTTAAATATTTTCTCTCTCCATTTTAACTATCATCTTCATCCTCCTCTTGATGCACGTTTCTTCCTCTCGTCAAAATTAGAGTAACCATTGCTGCAATTGAAAGAATCTTTATGCCTATACAGTTGATTTTTATTTTTCTAACAAACCCTTTTGATAAAAAAAAAAAAAAACTTTCATCAAATGCCCAGATTCTGATGGACTTCAAACATTTAACTGGATGTTCACAAATAATATTGAAGCTTTCTCTGAAAAACATTGATGGCTATTCCTTCATTTTTTTTCGCTCTTCACTCCACAACAAGTTTAAATCAAACATTTGTTATATTTGTTTAATACTTTCGGTGGTCTTACAGAGACCCAAAATAAAATCCAGCTTTGAAGTGAATAAAAATTCTTTCAATTACATGGGTTGCTGCAATTTCGATGGATTATTGTTAGAGAATGAATTAGTGAAAAAAAGAAGATGAGTATGGAAGGAGAGAGAAAATTACGGATGTGGGTGGGGTTCTTTTGAAAATAATTAAAAATTCAATTAATAAATATAATAAAAATAAAAAATAAACAATTAACTCATAAAGTGGGACACGTGTCACAAGGAGCCACACCCGGTGATTATAACCGGGTGTAGCATCGAGGCCGCCGTCGTTTTTGGTGGTTACGCATAGATTAAGATATTCAATAAATATGTATAGATTATACCAAAAATAGCATAGTAAATACTAAAATACCCTTGTCATTAATTATTTATAGATTATAATTAACTAATTAAGAGTTATAAGTGGCAAAATTGATAAAAATGCAATTAATACCTTATTGGAACTCTAAAATGACAAATAATTTGGGACAAAAAAAAAACACTCTAAAAAGACATATAATAAGAAACAGAGGGAGTAACTACATATTTAAATTAAATAACTATAAATTATATTTTAATAAGGAAACTAAATAAGCCTAATTAGCTATAAAAACCTAATTACAATTACAATATAATGTCCACCTATGTTTGACCTCATAAACCAAATAATTCTCCTCTCGGTTGAGTTTTTTTCGTCAAAATTATTGGGTTGCAGATCCTTCAGTTAATGATGTTGGAGTCATTTAATATCTCGTTCGAGAAATGACAATATTTCGTATTTATGTCGGATTTTTCAAATTGCTCCAACCGTCGTCTTCTTTCTGACTCCATTGTTTAAAGACCGATATTGAAATGATTAATCACAACCTTATTCTAAATAATAATTGTGTGTGGTGTGTGTAATTATGATACAATTGCAATCTCGCTCTGATACAAATTATAAATACGATCTCTTGAGAATAATCTTCTTGATTAGCACATACCGATCGATTTGTATTTGTTTCTCGATGGTTGGTCAAATAACAAAAATGTTGAATTTAATTAAGGGTTTGGGTCCAATACTTTATATAAATTGAATCGAATGGTAATTTCATGCTTAATAAATTCTAATTAATATGGTATAACACTAGAGTATAATTCTCTTTAATTAATTAGTGAAGATAATTGCCCTCTTAAGTTAAATAATTAAAAACATGATCATATATTCAAACAAGAAAAGTAATCTTATCCTAAATTAAAATATTGAATTCTAGCTAATTAAAAATCATAACCTTTAGGCTATGTTCACAATATTATAACAAGTTCATGCATATCTCAAGTGGTGAACTTTTCTCAAACGGATTGGACATCCTAGATCATGGTATTTATAAACCAATTATAAAGTTAAATGACAATAAGCATGTCATTAACATATTGATTAGGATTAGGAGATTGATAAAGTTAAAGTATATATATATATATATAATTAAGCATTATGTTGCCCATAAGCATGATGTGTTGTCACTAGCTAGCTAACGTTAATATTA